CCATCTGCTTTCAATTAGTGGGGTCTTACTGACTAACAGAGAAACAAGAGGCTGAAACTGAAAAAGTTGGCAATGTGCAGGCAGGAAAAATTAAAGATCAAGTAGTCAAACTGTTGTGTGAAATCAAAAAAAATCTACATTGTAAAAGTACAAGTAAATAAAGTCTATATATGTGCCACCATTCAGACATAACATCACATTATTTTTCCCCTAGAAAAAAGCATGTCTGGAGATATGCTGTTAAATCATATCATCGAGTAAGTCACAGTTAATTTGGGTCATGTATCCCTGGCCTTGTCGATATCTTTACAAATTACTTTGTGTGAAAGAATTGATTTATATTCAATGCCTTGGCTTCACGGCTGATTTTTATTGATAGTTTTATCTGTAATTATGTGTGTAACATTGTGTAAGCATCATGGCTCTACTGTATGGGGGCAATTCTGTTCTGTCAGTAGCTCCACCACTTTGGCCAAGACTGAAGTGTGTCATTAACTATTGGATAGACTGCCCTAACATTTTGTACATCCACCGACCCCAGAAGATAAATCTTGCTGACTCTGGTGATCCCCTGCCTTTACCTCTAGCGCCACCATGAGGTTGACATTTTTGGTATTTAGTGACATGTCTCAACAACTTTAGGATGGATTGCCATAACAATTGGTACAGACATTCATGTTCCCCTCGGATAAATTGTAATAACTCTGGGGAACCCTTGATTTCGATTCTAGCGCCATCATCAGCTCTTACTTAAACTTACATTTTTCCAATACTTTGGTTTATCATCTGCAAAACTAATGACATTCCCATCAGCCTCAGCTGAACTTTGTGTTCAGTGCTAATTAACCAATGTTAGTATGCTAACACGATAAACTTAGATGGTCAACATGGCCAATATTATACCCTGCTGTTATGACCTGTTTGGTCATTGTAAGCATGTTAGCATTCTGATGTTAGCATGTAGCTTAAAGCACCTCTCAGAGCTGCTAGCATGGCTGTAGACTCTTGTATCCAAAGTAGGGCTGCAGCTAACGATGATTTTAGTATGCAAACTTTCTATAGATTATTTAAACAATTCATCGATGCATCGTTTAAGAAGTACTTTTGCGGCCCAAAAAGGAGAACAAACGCACGTGTGCACATTTTCAGCTGAGGACTGCGGCTTACTTTGGCTAGCCTTCAACTCAACAATCAATCATGATTTCAGTTAAATGCTAAAGTTACTGTTACCTTGTCTGTGGTCCGCTGGCAGAACACCGGCTGCTTTCTGATAAGGTGCCGTCGTGCTGTAGCCGAGGCGACAGAAGTTTTGTTTTACGTTGGACAGACTACCAGAGTTGTTGTTTTCTTTAGCTTGAAATAATCCCATACTTTGGATTCTTTCTTTTGTGTCCCTCGCTGTTTTCTCTCTCTTCCCCCACTTTGCAAACAGCTCCATCATAATCACACGATGTGCGACAGTAATAAATGTCCCTCTGAAACACTGTGTTGTGTAGTTACATGGATTAAACGAAGCATCGATGCAAAGAATTTGTGTCGAAGCATTTTATGAATCAATTTTATCGATTTAATCGATGAATCGTTTCAGCCCTAATCTAAAGATGTTTTTGCTTTAGGTTTTTAGCGTTTGCTAGTTTGACCTTAACTAGTCCACACCACCTTCTCACCTTGTTACGATCATGCTGTTCTTATTTGGAAACACAATTTCAAACAGTGGTAAAAAAAGTTGAGGGTAGTGGCTCCAAACCCACATCTCAAGGAGTCCCTAAGATAAATGTGAAGGTTCAGAACATCACTGCAAAAAATCTCCTTCTTATCAAATTAGTTTTGCAGTCCTTCAAGTCATCAACAAGAATATTTCTACTTGACTGTAACTCAGTTTGTTTGTAAGGGCCATTGTAGGTAAAATTAAATAAATACATTTCTGAGCAGAAGGGGGTAGTTAATATTATTATATAAAAATTATATAATATGATATTATGAGAAAAAAATTCAAACATTCTCTGAGAATAAAGTGGTAAGTTTATGAGAAATAACTTGGGAAAATAGTGTTCCATCAAGGTTTTTTCATGTGTCATTAATAATACAAGACAAGAGTTAGATATGCAAATATGAGGGATTGCAACAAAGCCACTTGAAAGCATGTGTCACATCTTATTCATTTATAAATGTCTGCAGTTCTTCCCCAGCTTTTATTGTTTTGGCCTATGAAAAGAAGGAAGTATCTCATGGTTGGTGAAAGTGGCTTATATGTGACGGCAGTTATTAACATCTGCTTTCATAATACAGAGCCTTTAATAGCACAAACACCTGATGATAATGCATGACTTCTCAGAATCTCGGAAATTCTGAGTTTTTTCTCGGTATTAATATCCTCCTCCCCCGGCTCTATCATTTTTAATTAGTTTAAAGCGTTTTGTAAAATCAAGTTTCATTTTTTTCAATCTAAGGCAGCCATCTGCCTTCTTATTTCTTGTTTTGAGACACAGACTCTCCCCTTGCTACCTGCAAATCGGTTCACTTGTTTAGAGAAATTGAGGTTTTAAGTATTTATTTATAGACAGAAATGACACGATAAGATGGAGATTTTATAACAGTAATGACAAATAGAGATAACAGGGGGTGGTGATGGAGCAGTGGATAAGACAGCTATCTTTGGTGTGAAAGCCCCGGGTTCAAATCCACTGTGAGACACCAATGTGTCCCTGAGCAAGACACAACCCCTCGTTACTCCAGAGGCACGTGACCTCGGACATATATAGCAATTGGAAGTTGCTTTGCATAAAAGTGTCAGACATTTTTAAATTTTTTGCTTTGTCAGCTATTGGATACTTTTAACTCTTCAGGCATCTCAAAATCACAAGAAAAAAGGTTGTTAGCCCAGAGGGAACATTTGCCCACTCCTTAATACAGGCCTGATTCCCTGCTTTTCAATTTTTGATGCTTGTATAGTACAGTAAAACTGATTGACAGATGTATTCACACCATTTCTATAGACTATCTATCTTTCTGATTTGACTGATCAGCCATTAACAAAAGATCACATGTTCTGATTAATATAGGAGGAGGAGGCTGAAAAAGTGATGTATTTTTGTCCCTATTCACTGCTTTTTGTTTTGTGATCAGTTCTTGAATTTTCAGGGTGGATGTGTTTAACCATATGTGTTTGGAAAGAAGCTGGCACCCTCTCTCATCAGCCCTTATATCACTCACTCCCCGTCTGCTGTTGCTCATCGCTGGAGCTCCAGCAGCACAATCTTCCCTTGTTTTTCAGAAGAACAAAAACAAGCAGGAGTTGGTCTTGTCCTTGAGAAAGGCGAGAAGCAGCGGAGAATAGAAACATACACAGATGCACTCACACAAACGCAAACACATACACTGCAAAGAAACACACACAGACATACAGACAATCATAGGCAGCTGCACAATCAGTCCGACTTAACAAGCATACACACACACACACACACACACACACACATTTCTAAAGACCCCTTGGGGAAGCTGGGTATAATTCAGGCCGTGGCAGCCTAAATTAAGTGTTATTTTCCAGGACAGGTGTAAAGGAGAGGAAGAAATCCATCAGCTCGTTTCAATGGCTCATGAGGTGAAGGGACATGAACACGTGGCAAATAAAACTGTCTACACACACCAAAGACTTGTGGTGGCTACCTGAATTGGTTTATAACAAAAAAAACCTTTGGCAGGAAACACTGTCATCCAAGCACTTTAGACTTGAGGAGATGGTTTGGGAATTCATATTAAATGCTGTAGCTGCATGTTTGGTGACTTTGATGGATTCCCTTGGCAGAAATATTTCAGCTCCTACATTGAAGTATCCCCGCTTCACCACACAAACTGGATCTCTGTCAAGTGGTGGATTGGATGTTCCCACTGTCCGTGGGTTCATGTGGCTGCATTTGTGTGTGTTAGTGGTTAAGAATAAGCAGTCCATCAGTGTTCATTACTTACGTGTGTGAGTGTGTGTGCGTGTGTGTCAGCCACTGAAACCACAGTGGGTAGGTGCAGGTGTTCACTGGGCCATGGTTGCAGGTGTTACACACACACACGCACTTACACACACATCAGACAGAAATAGCCTATGTTTCTGGAATTGGTACCTGAGTTTCCTTTCCTCAACAAAAATACTGATCATTATTTTCATGTTTTTAGAGCATCTGTTTTATTGAGGAACGTTTACATTAAGCAGAAAAAGAGCTCTGAACTTTTTACCTTGAAACTCAAAGAACAATCAAATAGGCCACGCCGTGTGTGTGTGTGTGTGTGTGTGTGTGTGTGTGTGTGTGTGTGTGTGTTTGTGTAGTAGATTGATGTGATCTCTTGTCTACCTGCTGTATCTCCTTTGTTTAAATTCAATGGGGCTTTAACAAACTTCATGGAAGCCTGACTCCATACAGAGCTCTCTTTTGCTATTACATGTGGACACACATACTCAACACACACACACACACACACACACACACACACACACGTGCAGATCAGACTGTTAATGGTACTTGTAACTTACTTTTGTAGTCTTTATAAACTGATGTGAACAAAGAAATTCTGATGAAACTTATCCTGATCAGATTACAATGCAGATGCCCATGTAAATAAATACTACATTGCTACATTGTCTGTATACAGAATGTGCACAGAGGTGCAAGGCTGAGAATAAAAGGGCAAGAGGAAGGGGTATGCATGGTGGTAAAAGATGGGTGTGAATAAAACCCAGTGTGATGGAACAGCATGGAAACTAATTGATTTGTTTGATGATGATGGTGCACATGTAAAAAACAGACTATATTTTATTCAGTTTTGCATATTTACAGAATCATTTAACACTAGTGCAGCACATCAACAAAATTATATAAAAAATGTCACTGCTTTATTCTGAACGATATTTCCTGCCGTCTAATGCTCTTAGTCTAAGGAGAAGAAGACAGGAAATGTGATTATAAACTGATTATAGATTAAAATGATTATTTCTGCCTTCCTTCCAGGACCCGAGGGCAAAGCACAAGTTTAAGATCCACACCTACTCCAGCCCGACCTTCTGCGACCACTGTGGCTCTCTGCTGTACGGCCTCATACATCAGGGCATGAGATGTGACCGTATGTACTCACTACAATGCACACATGCCGAACTCTTTCTGATGGTTTTCTAGCTTCCGATTCGGCAGTTAAGGGGAACTTAAGTGAAAGTTATCCAACGAAGGTTAAAGTCAAGGGCAACTGGACTTGGTTGAAGATTGGTTGCCCTTGACTTTAACCTTCGTTGGATAACTATGACCTGGATGACTGAGAATCTTCATAGACAACTTAAGTGAAAGTTAACTTACATTGCTGAGCGATTTATTTTCTGTTTGCACTTCTCACTCTTGTGAAAGATGTTAGGCATTTTAGGCAAAGCCTTAACGCTGTCTGAAACACTTTTAGATTTGAAAAAACTTTATTTTATTTGTGAAAATACTTTGAAGGGAAATTTATCTGCTTTTTTGCATGTAGACCACATTAGACCAGGTCCAGATCCAAAACCACTATACCTAGAGCTCTCAAATCTGGACTAGATTGTCCCAGAGAGGTTAAGGTTTCTTTAAAACATAGTTTCAGATTTGTGAAACCTTTATGTGAAAATACTTTGAAGGGCGGTGTGTCGGCACTGAACGAAATATTCAGAGAATACACTCTTAACAAACTTTACAAATACATCTGTATGTGTGTGTGTGTGTGTGTCTTTGTGTGTCTGTTTTCCAGACTGTATGATGAACATCCATAAGCGCTGTGTGGCCAATGTGCCGAGCCTGTGTGGGACAGACCACACAGAGAGAAGAGGTCGCCTCCAGATTTTTGCTGAAATCAAGACTAATGTACTCACTGTTACCAGTATGTATATCACGCACACACACACACACACACACACACACACACTGTATATAGAGACAGTCATCAGCTGAAAAGCCATCCATCCATCGTCAACCGCTTATCCTGCGTACAGGGTCGCGGGGGGGCTTGAGCTAATCCCAGTTTACATTGGGCGAAAGGCGGGGTACACCCTGGACAGGTAGCCAGTCCATCGCAGGGCAGGTGAAAAGCCATTTGCTGTAAATTCATGTTTGAGAATAACAGACATCTGTCGCCCTCTACTGGTAGACATACAGAAGGGAAGGACAGACACAGCAAAACTAATAAGATATGTGATCAGACAAACCATTCATTTATTTTGTGTCCATTATCAAGATTTTAAAAGAATGTCTACTTGATAAACAGTTGTCAAAAACACACTGGGAATACAAATCACATCAATACAAATATACTTCATAGAAGCTATATTTGTGGGATAGTTAACATAAATACTGTGTGTGCAGTTTTGGAGCTGACTGGTGTTTTAATGAACATATTTTTATTAATCTTAATTCATTTAGTAAGAAATGTGTACTCTACTGGCATTAAGATGATATCGTCTCCCAGTCCAACACACTCTGTGGCACAAAACACAAAGTGTAATGCATGTATGACTGACGCTCTGTGACCTACTGTAGACAATCTTGCTGAAGTAATATGAGACAGACACAGACTATTATAAATACAAATATGAAGTAAAAGATTTCCTGTAAATGAGATTATTTCCATGGTTTCTCTACACTGAATGAGGTGTTACTTCACTTTGTATCCAACCAGCAACAGAAAAACAGGAGTCAGATCCATTTACATGGTGTGTCACACGCATTCACCCACTGAAGCATTTGTATTTTGCTGTTGGAGTGATGACTGAGAAGAAGCATCACTGAGAAAAACAAGGAGCCCTTAAGCCTAGTTCACAGTACATGATTTTAGCCCGATTTGCCGCTCGGCGAGGTCGGCGACTGTCAGGTTATGATCGGGGGTAAATCAGCGGTCGATCGGCGGTCACCAGTCGTTATGTGTGAACTACTCAACGACACATCAAAACAGCTCCCTGACACATTTCTGACACATCACCGACGCCTGCCAGATATCTAGCATGCCAAATATCTGGAAGAGTCGGCCAACTCGACATCCACATCTAGCCAATGAGAGCAGGCAGCTACTTTTTCACTGCAAAAACTTTTTACTCACCTCCAGATCTCTCTGTAGCTCAGACAATCCCTGCTACCTACGTGTGCTAATCCATTCTTTCACCCATATTCTTTGTCTTTATAATTGGTATCTATCAAACAAACAACAGCTGTTTTGTCTGTAGGTTCGCGTCATTTCCCGTTTCACATTTCACGTGTGTTTTCTTGACAAAACGTGGTTTGGAGACCAGCGTCGGGTGATACAGCCGCTCTCAGCGCGTGTAGTGTGTGATCCCCTGTCCCCGATCAGTCACGTAATGTGAACGCCACAACGACTTCAAGACTCCCGTCACAAGACGTCCAGTTGTGTAGTCTGAACAGCACGGCCATCGGCCGACGCTGAAAGTTGTGTAGTAGTGTCATTGTCACCAACACCCCAGTTTCCATTTGACTGGCCTTACTTACAATATTACCACTGGGCAGGTTTTGTTACAAAGCTGGATCACAGAAGGGGGACAGAAGTGTAATGGCATGTTTGCATTATTTGGTTGGGGGTTTTTTTGGAGTACTTACTTACATACTTTCCCTCAATCTAATTAATTTGCTTATATTTCACAGCGCCACAGCACCTAGACTTTCCCGTCTCCGCTGAAAAAAACTCTTATATTGACAAGCACAGACTCTTTTTATGGCACATCTTTATAAATGTAATTTCGAGAGCAATTTTGATGTGATGGGTAGAATTGGAGAGTGAGAGTTTTTGCTGTTGACCTTCTGCATAGAGTTCTGGTGTATGGAGGATACTGTGGGTGTACACAAGGAGTCTGTCTGCTTCTTCTGTGATTTCTTCCCGTATGATAGTGATTGAACTAAACATTTCCTGTTATAATGTTTTAGAGTGTTTAAAATGTTTCTGGAAGCATCTCAAAAATGTGTCTGTGTGTGTGGGTGTGTGTGTGTGTGTGTGTGATACAGCTGTATGAATATGAAGCAGTGTGTTGTTCGGCGAGAGCCCTGTCAGCCAAGTTTCATGTAGTATGAGTGTGATGATCACTCATCATGTAGTATGAGTGTGAGTGTACTATTATCATTAGTACATTCATGTTCACACTGTCCGTTACAACTGCTGTTAGAATGATTTGCCCTTAAATTTCAAGGTTTTCTGACCATCACATTTAGTTTGGTAAGGTTAAATAACTATGTTGGGGCATTGAGCCATTTTTTTTGCATGATCATATTGCAAAACTATTACTATGTTTTCTGCCATTGACATTAATCTATACTAAATTAATTTCTTGCCTGAACACGTCTCATGGGATAGGCTAAATGTAGGCTCACCTCTGTCCTGAAGAGAGTTTCCTGACCTGCCTCGAGTTTTATTTAAGGGATAGTAGGTGGAAAATGGTACGACAACAGTTTACTAGTAGTGTCTTGGCTTCCCTGCAGGTGGGAGCAGAGGTTTAACTTTGCTCTGTGACTGTCAACTCAGTTACAGCTGCACATTAAACTGCAAACATCTGACTTTCTTGATGTAGAGTTAACGTTTGGCTGAAATAAGAATTCACACGATTTAACAAAAGCTTCAAAAGGGAGTTATCTATTGTGAATCACAGTTAATCTCATATCCAAATTCTGACTACCTTCTTTTTTAGTATGGCTAGTTGGATTACGCTGTCAAAGCCTAAATCCACCCCAACTTTAGCTGTGCCACCATTCACTCACAATTCACTTCAATTCCCCAAACAATAGATGACTTACCGATAATAGATAGATGCATAACATTTGAATGTGCCATACAAACTTGTCGGGGGAGTTTTCAATGAGCACATGAAAGCAACATTATACAGTTTGTGTTGAACCCCCAATTCAGGAAAATGTAATTGATTTCTTCTTGACCGTGCTACTTAAGGACTGAAAAGTAATGACTAGTTCTGCTGTGAAAGAAAGAGATGATTGGTTCATCTGGGGTTGCACAGCATGTAATCAATAAACATGATCTGTTCATCTAAATATCACTAAAATAGTTATTTGAATATCTTGAAAAGATACATACATACATACTTCGGAAAGTTAAAGTATTTTCCCTTCATGGTCTTTTGCTAGGTTTCATCCGTCTCTCCTACTCTCTGTTCTTGGTTCCCACGCTTGTAGACTGATCATTAGCTGGGATTTACTGTGGGAAATGATAAGAGAGCAGACTTATCACATAAAGACAGCAGTAAAAGTAAAGCTAAACCTTTAGCAGTAGCTAAACCTCATGAGTGCTACATGATAAAACAGAATAGAATAAAATACAGCTGAATGGTAGACACTGTCAAGGAAAATTGCTATTCTTTAGAGTTTAGTCGTATCTGTTAATCACTCTCAGAACACATCAACATAATTGTCAGCAAGGATTGTCTTTTCAGCATTTAAATTGCATTGCAGTTTTTAGTGATGAATCCTCTTCTTTTAGGGGCTATGATAATAGCTTACAAGCAACACTTAAAGGCAGTAGAGGATGTAGAGGATGTAGTACTCATTTCCGTCCACAGGGGTCATTGTGGAGCTACCAGTAGCTCACTCCCTCATTGCAGTGATATGGAAAAAACTACCACAGACTTAGAATTATTCTAAAGTTTAATGTAGCAAGAACTGGTGGAAATGGCTGCTTCATTGAGAAATGCATTTATGCTGTGGAGTACTTGTGGATTTAATCAAAGCAATTGACGTGGGTGTAAAGGGACACTTTATGGATCACTTTTAAGTTTCCTCTCTCCCCCTTCACTGGCAGATCACAGCTAAGGGTCAGTGTCAGAACAGTGCCCGTGGAGATGGAGGATCAGCATCTAGCTCAGAGGGGAACTCCAGCAGGGAAAATGCAGTGGGATGTGGAAATAATCCAAAAGAACAAATTTGTGCGACGTCGTTCGACCACATCAGGAAGCAAAAGTGTTCATAGCTGTTCCAAAAGGCAGTGTAAAAAGTCATAGAGAGGGGAGAGATGCGGTAATTGTTTAAATATGGGGATAATGGCACATGTTTTGGGACAGTCCCTACTGGACGGCATTCACAGAGACAACTTCAAACCCTGCTGTCTTTCTCATCACCATGCAGCTGGCCACTCACTCTGTGAAGAGGGGCACTTCGACCACCCAATAAGCAGTTGGAGTATACTGGCACCTTAATACACTAATGATAACTCTGGCTGGCTGTGTGTTGGTTTAATGGCAAAGATTAAAACATACGTAGCACCCAAAGAACTTTAAGAATATAAGACATTATAATTTCATTAAAAATGGGCTTGGCAATTTATTTTTACATACGTTGAAATTATCTTTATATCCCAACAGCAATCAATAAATGTCTGCCTACCTACCTACCTACCTCTCCCCGTAGTTTTTGGTTTGGTTCTTTCAAAATCTAGCTGTCACTTGCTAGTTTTTCAAACGTTGCTTTCACCAGCTTTAATTTTATTTACACCTAAGCCAAAAGTCCATAAGTGTAACAGTTGCCACATCTTGGCAATTTGAACCCTTAAACTTGATATTCATGCCCACATTACAGACATGGTATATTATACAGTACTAAGCATTTTGTTGTTGTTATTTAAAGGACACTGGTCTAATACCAGAGCACACCAGAAGTAATATTAGAGTAATGTTAGAATACATTTCTATTCATATCTAATGTCAGGCTTAGTGAAGTATGCTCAACCAATTAGTCATGATAAATTTTTGGCCTTAATAGGGGTTTTTAATTTTTTGACTTGTCATCGCTCAAATTAAATAATCTAATGATTCCTTGACAACACATGTAGGAATAAAGTAGCTAAAATGAACATCCAGTCAACATTTGTGTATTCAGAAC